GCTAGGAGTCGGAAAGACTTGAGGACACTTAACAACAACAGTGAAATATGGTAATGATCATTCATAGCTACTAACATCAAGGAGTCCTAGTGTGGCGCTGTGGGTTAGTTAATGCGCTGGACTGCAAGGTCGGTTTGAACTACAAAGGCGGCAGTTCAAGTTTACCAGCTGCTCCTCGGAAACCCTATACAGGGTCGCTATGGGTCGGAATTGACTCGACCCATAACAACATCAAGAGAGCCCTGGTGGTTGGATCCAGGTGTAACGCAGTAGGATAAGCAGTTCAAACTCACCAGCCTGTCCTGGGAAACCCTATATAGGGTTGCTGTGATGGCACCTAACAACAACATCAAGAGAGACAGCCGGACTGTGTGCCTCCTGATGAAGTACCTAACACCACCTATCAAGGATTCTTGGAGGGCTAAGAGTGAGGTGGGATCCAGAGAAACAACATGAGCCGTGATTGTTCATTGTTGAAGCTCAATGATGAATGCATGGCAATGTATTATATTAAACATGGACTGATTATTTGACCAGAAAGTTCGGGTCAGTCTGATCCATCCACTATAGGTATCCACTAGTTTTTTGTAAGTGGTTCTTGAATTTGCTTATACATTAGATTCACAGGGTTTTGTTGTTGTTTTAATAATAAAGCTCACAACTCATTCAAAGAATTTCCTATATTGCTCTGGGATGGAGCCCAATTGACAGGGTTTAAAAGTGGTCCAGGTGATTTTAATTTGCTCCCAGAGTTGTATACCACTGTTGAGGGATGCAAATGATGATTTTTCTATCATTCCTTCTGTATTTATTAGCTGCTGCTTTCTTCTTCGTGGTTACAAATCGGGCTGTGAACCTTAAGGTCAGCAGTTTGAAACTACCAGCTGTTCCATGGGAGAAAGATGAGGCTTTCTGCTTCCATCAAGATTTACAGCCTCAGAAACCCTGTACAGGGTTGTTATGAGTCGGAACCGACTCCACGATATAACCACCACCACTCTTTGTATTCTCATCTGTCTTGCAAACTGTAATCCAATAGTGAATCCTCTACAAATTAAACTGCCTCATTATCAGAGGAAAGCTTAATCTTGGAAGTGAAAATGTGGAGTAATGCATGAAGGAGATGCTAGAAAGAACCTTAAAGTTGGGGGTCGGGGAGGGTAGAGAGTGTTGTGTAAGATGTGGGAGAGGGGTAGGGAGGGGAGATGACTGTCCCAGAGTGGAAAGGAAGTCTAGACCATGTGTGCCTAGAAAAGCATGTTCAGTTTTAGGACATTAAAAAAAATTATCAGTGTGTTAGGCTGGGTTCTCTAGAGAAGCAAAACCTGTGAAGCTTATCTATCTGTATATATAAAGAGAGGTTGATGCCCAGGAAATGGCTGACACAGTTGTAGAGGTGGGCAGTCCCAAGTCCATGGGTCAGATGCCAGGATGGAAACTTCTGACTCACATGGCTTTGATGAACTAAGGTCAGCAGGTCAGCCAAGTTGAGCAGGTAAGAAGGCATGCTATTGACAATTCCCAAGATCAGCAGGTAGTAGAATAGGCTACTGGCTGCAGTCCAAAGAACCAGAGGTGGACAGTGAACCAGATGCAAGATCCAGACCCAGCAGAGAGTCCACAGGTTTGCCTAAGTGTCTAATATATTGGAAGCAGACCACACCCCCTTTCAGTTGGCTGACTGCTCATTTCAGACCTCATCACATATTAGATTTCACCATGGGGATAACTACATCTCAACTGACAAACCACAAAACTCTGACCCAGTCAAGTTGACACAAAACCTTAACTATTATGATCCGTTTTAAGTATTTTATCTTACAAACGTTAATGTTACTCATTGCAACCAGAAACAATCTAAAATTTTAGAAATTAATCTTCCATCTTTGAACCATCCCTGAGATAACCAGTATTAGCAGTGTAGATCTTTCCATTTCAGACTTTCTCCATCTTATGTAAATATAGGGGCTTAGATTGCTGTTATGAAAGCAAGATCTTGCTGTAGTCTTCTGTAACTTTTCTCCAGAACAATAGTTGCGGATCTAACTACTAGCTGCAGAATAAATCATTCATAGTAAGTGTGTTAAGTGTTGTCAAGTCACTTATGTCTCAGGGTGACCCTGTATAGGGTTCCCAAGGAGAAACTGGTAGGCTTGAACCGTTGACTTTGCAGTTAGCAGTTCAGTATTTATCCTATAGCGCCATACCAGGATAGTTAATGGTATAGCTGTACAATAAAATATTCCATCTTTTCCTTGATGAAAGAAATAATGCTGGAGATTGCAAGACCAATGACTTGTTCACTGCAAATACCTTTTTTACACAACATAAAAAAATGACTATATAGTTGTACCTCACCAGTTGGAATACACAGGAATCAAACTGACTATATCTGTGGGAAGAGACGGTGGAAAAACTCCTTATCATCAGCCAAAACAAGGCCAGGGGCAGACTGTGGAACAGACCATCAATTGCTCATATGCAAGTTTAGACTGAAGCTGAAAAAATTAAAAGTCCACAAGAGCCAAAATTTGACCTTGGACATAGCCCACCTGAATTTAGAGATCATATCAAGAACAGATTTGATGCATTTAGATATTAATGACAGAGAACAGAAGAGTTGTGGGATGACATCAAAAGCATCATACAAAAAGAAAGCAAACGATCATTAAGAAGACAAGAAAGAAAGAAAAGACCAAAATGGATGTCAGAAGAGACTTGGAAACTTGCTCTTCAGTGTAGAGATGCTAAAGCAAATGGAAAAATTAGTAAGTAAAAGAGCTGAACAGAACATTTCAAAGGGCAGCTCAAGAAGACAAGGTCAGGTATTATAATGAGAATGTGCAAAGACCTGGAGTGAGAAAACCAAAAGGGAAAAACAGAACATTCAGCATTTCCCAAGCTAAAAGAACTGAAGGAAAAATTCAAACCTCGACTTACAATATTGAAGGATTCTATTGGCAAAATATTGAACGATGTAGAAAGCATCAAAAGAAGATGGAAAGAATATTCTGAGTCATTGTACCAAAAAGAAATGATTGATGTTCAACCATTAACTAATGAAGATCATTAACTAATGATGTTCAATCATTAATTAACTAATGAAAATCAAAGATCACAGCCTTCAGTAGGGGTTGTACTTCAATATAAAGAAAACAAAAATCCTCACCACTTGAGCAATAAATAACATCATGATAAATGGAGAAAAGATTGAAGTTGTCAAAGACATTATTTTGCTTGGACCCACCATCAACACTCGTGAAAACAGCAGACAAATCAAGTGAAGTGTTGCATTGGGCAAATCTGCTGCATAAGACCTCTTCAAAGTGTTCAAGTGCAAAGATGTCAGTTTGAGGACTAAAATGTGCATGACCCAAGCCATGGTATTTTCAGCAGTTTTATATATATGTGAGAGTTGGACATGAATAAGGAAGACCATAGAAGAATTGATGCATTTGAGTTATGGTGTTGGAGAATAATATTAAAAGTATTGGTAATACAGCTAGAATGTTCCTTAGAATCTAGGATGGCCAGACTTAGAATCTAGGATGGTCTCTCATACTTCGGACATTTACCAAGAGGGACTTGTCCCTGGAGAAGGACATCATGCTAGGTAAAATGAAAAGACACGAAAAAGAGGAAGACCCCAATGAGATGAGTTGACACAGTAGTGTCAACTTGCAGAACAAGCAGTGTTTGTTCTGTTGTGCATAAGATTGCTATGAGTCAGAACCAACCCGATGGCACCCAACAACAACAGCCATTTCCTTATTGATGGGTGTTCAGATTGCTTCCCATTTTTAGCCACCTTTAATCCTACCACAAATAAGCATTGTACATAGATCCTTTATATCTGTAGCATAAATTCTAAAAAACTAGATGTTTGTCAAAAGTATTCTTAGAAGCATCATCATTAATAGTAATGTATACTGCCAGATTATGCTCCCTAAACAGTAGAAAATTCACCCCTCACCACCAGTAATGTATGAGAGTTACATAAGAATGATATAAATAATTCTTCAAATGATTTCTGTGTGTGTTTTCCTCCTTCCATCAGTGTGGAATATCTAGAATTGGCTATCTGTAGATTTCAGTTTATAGTCACATTTATTCTATTGATTCACATCTTCATCACAGAAGTATACCAGAGATGGGAGATGTGCCCAGAAATCATGAAAGTAGAGCAATGCCAGCAGTTGAGCAGAAATATACACATCCAACAGGTAGTTCTTGATCACTTACAATAGCAGAGTCCTAAGTCCTAACTCCCTACCCAGGATCCCTGGTAGCTTGCTGGTTAAGCACTCAGTTGCTAGTTCAGTTAAGCACTCAGTTGGCAGTTCAAGCCCACTCTAGCTCTGAGGGAGAAAACAATGTGACAGTCCTCTTCCATAAAGATGTACAGCCTTGGACACCATGCAAGGCAGTCCTACTCTGTCTTGTAGGTTTACTGTGAGTTGTAATTTACTCCTGGGGTTTTTGCATTTGAAGTCCTACCTGGTTATTTGGGCTGGTGAGACATGAACTCAGTGTTACTGTGAAATTACCAGCAATACTGTATTGTCGAGCATTACTGATAACAGTTGCTCAGGGTGCCCTGGAACCACCACTTGGAGAGCATAATTAAAGCTCATTTCTTTCCCAGAACCCTAACTACAGTTCTTAATTGACTGGGTTTGGCTGTTTGGGTTTTGTTTTTTGTTTTTTTCGCTGCTGTTAGCAGTCAGACAACATTTGGTAACCTGTGGCTTCAGCCAGTTCAAACCAAACCAAACCAAACCTACAGCTGTCGGATCCATTCTGACTCATAGCAACGCTATAGTGAGGAGTTGTTCAAATCTTACTTTGGATTTGTGTGGGAAGCAATCAGAAAACTAGAATCCAGAGTGTTCTGAATAACCCCAGATAAAAAGCAGTGGTCTCACAGGAGCCTGTGTTTGGTGTCTGTGAGCTGATCTGTGAAATCATCCCCAGGTGGCCTTTCTTTTGCAGGCTGGAAGATGTCTATGGAGGTAACATTTCTGGGTACTGGTGCAGCATACCCATCCCCGACCCGGGGCGCCTCTGCTCTGGTCCTTCGGTGCGAGGGCGAATGCTGGCTCTTTGACTGTGGGGAAGGAACTCAGACGCAGCTTATGAAAAGCCAACTTAAAGCAGGTTAGTGTGCTTTCAGCTACTTCATTACAATGGTTTCTGGTTCTGCTTCATTTTCTTGGCCTTCTGGGCCCATGTGATCAGAAACAGCCCAGACAGTTGTGCTCCATTCAGTGCTGATAGCCTGATGAGTTGGAAGGCCCCAGTCATCTGGCCATGGCCACTGAGCCTCATCTCTTTGTTTATTTGCTTTCCATTCATCCTAGCACAGTTGAGAGCAATAACTTGTATCAGCTTGCAGGGAGTGTGCAAGGGGCTCCATCGGACGTATGAAACAGATACTGCCCACCCAGCAAAGAGGAGAGGCGCGCCTGCTTATTTCCAGTATACTTATTCCAAAGAAGTAAAAGGAAAGGGATGCAGTGTAGCCTTTGAGTTGTTGAAAGATGAGGAGAAGACGGTTATACCAGCCAAAGGGAATCGAATGAACAAAATCCTCTGCCCCATTGGGCTGACCTGGGTTTCCAGTCCAGCTCTGTCTGGGCTTGTGACCTTAGCAGACCAGCAAACGTTTTTTAAGCGGAACTTCCGTTATATCAAAAATGTGTGGGGAGGAGGAATAACTCTGCTCATAAAGAATGTTAAAAGAATTGCGTATAATGACCCATCTCGGTGTGGTTGCCTACTCATCACTTCAATCTTAGCTCAAATGCCATCTCCTCAGAGGGTTTCCCTGAACCTCCTGGGTTAAATAGTTCCTCCCTCATCCCAGTCAGTCTATTGCTTTGTTCTACTTGGTTAACTTTCTATCACCAGTATCTGAAATTGTTGTCTAAATAGTTGTTGCTGTGTTCACTGGCTATATCCCTGTGCTATAAACTCAGTGGTCAATTATCTATAGAGATGTTTAATAAACGCTATTTCGCTATGGGTCGGAACCGACTCGATGGCACTTAACAACAACAACAACATTCAGTTAATGAGTGATAAGATGCTAAGCACTTAGTTCATTACCTCTCCCTCATTATTTGTTGTTGTTGTTATGTGCCGTCGAGTCAGTTCCGACCCATAGCCTTGATAAATGATAGTTAGGGAAGTTATTAACTATTTCTTGGACTCATCACAGTGCACGGCATTTGATGACTTCGGAAAGATACTTCCAGGTTCTGAGGATGTCTTGGCCTAGTGATGGAAACTGACATGCGAACAGACAGGCACAGTGCAGGCTGATAAGCAGAACAGAGGGTGCATTAAAGAAGGTGACACTAACTGCCTGCAGGTTCAGAAAAAGCATCCCACACAGTGACAGCTGAAGTAGGACCTAAAGGACAAACAGAAGTTTCTCCAGGAAGAGTCAGCCAAGTGAATGACAAATCAGGGAGTGTCCAGGAAAGAAAGGGCATGTTTGGGGAACAATAAGCCATCCAGATCATAGAGTACTTGGCTAGTAGAAATGGGAGATGAGAATGCAGAGAAAAGAAGTGAGGGCAGACTGAAGTCTTCTGTGGCAGGCTAAGGTGTTTGGACTTTATGATCTTAATAGCACTAAGGAACCATTGAAAGTTTTTAATCAGAGGGGTGATGTGGTTTGACTTGTGTTGTAAGATAGTTTTCTGATAAAAAATAGATTGTAAGGTGACCAAATTCCAAAGCAAATCAATTCATCTGAGAGAGAGGATTAGAACATTGAAGCAGAAAGTAGGATTTGGGATGAGATGACAAACTCAACTTGGAGATCCATGTGGGACTGACCGGAAGTGGTGAGTGATTGGATGTCTAGGGTGGGAAGGAGTGAAGAACTTGGAGTATTAAAAGTTTTCAATATCCTAGACCAACATGCTATTGCTGTTGTATGTGCTGTCGAGTCGGTTCTGACTCATAGCAGCTCTGTATAGGGTTTCTAAGGAGTGGCTGGTGAGTTTGAACCGCTGACCTTGTGGTTCAAACTGGACCTTTGGTCCAGTGCATTATCCCAAAATAGATGCAAAACAAGAGAGCTGTTAAAGGAAGGAGCTAATATGTAGAGTTTGGGACATTAGGCCTTGAGGTACACACAGTTCAACTCTAATTATATATGATCCCAGGTAGAAATCTGAGGTAAGGGCAGATAACCTTCTGCTTCACAGCTCTTGAATAACACAGGTGTTCCTTCCAAGGGTTCTTTCAGGGTAGACACAGCCAATATAGAGACTGTGATGTCTAATCTTCTAGAGAATAGGAGGTGAGCTGAGGGAGGGGTGAATTAAAATAGAAACAAGAAACTGTTAAGTATAGGTACCAGAGTTTTGGGTACGGAAGTGAATCTTTACTGTTTATTAATATCTATGTATTTGTTACCTAATGCCGCATAACAAATTACCACAAACCCAGAGGCTGAGAATAACACGCATTTCTTACTGTGTCTGTGAGTCAGAGAGTTTCTGGGTCCTCTGCTTCAGGATCTCACCAGGCTGCAGTCAGGTGTTGCCTGGGGTGCCGGCCTTATCAGAGGCTACACCAGGCAAGGACCTGCTTCCACGCTCTCTTGGGTGCTCCGCAGAATCCTTGCAGCTCCTAGAGGCCACCCATAGACCCTTGCAGTGTGGGCTTCTACTTCATGGTAGCTTCCTCATAGCCAACCAAGGAGAGAGACAGAGTGAACGGACTTGCAAGACTGTGTCTTCTATCACAGAATACAACCAACCGCCTCACACCTGGAGCCCGCTCCTGCTGGTTGGAAGCAAGTACAAGTTCTACCCACACTCACACAAAGTAGGTATGACAAAGACAAATGTGAACACCAAGAGACCACCATCCTGCAGGAGCCCTGTAATCTTTTCACCACAGCACTCTCTGTAATAGTTTATATTTTATAATTACTTCATGTATTGGTTTTTAAATACACATACAAAACTAAGCCTGATAAAAAAAACAAAAACTGAAAAGCCCAGGGGAACCCTTAGTTTACGAAATTTTTGGCTTGAAAATTAATAAATCTTGACCTCAGAGAAGGTGGGTTGGTAATCGCAGAGCATTATTTATGTCTCTCCGGCATCTCAAGTGCTCTGTCTCAGACTGGAAAGGAACACGCACAATGCACTCTGGGTTCCCTCAGGAACCCGTATGAACCATTCATTATTTCATTTATTGAAACCCTGTACAGCTTGTACTACCTCCTGGGATAATAGGTTTTATGAGCTTAATAAGGAAATGCCTTCTATTTATCTAAACATACTTCTTTTACACTTCCATAGTTCTTATATGTAAGCATATGATTAACAAGTTTGCATACCTATTTCATAATTTGAAAGAGTCAACATAAGCCTCCTTTTTTTTCTTTCAAAAATGAATATAAAATGATTAAAAAGTATTACAAAAGTATAATTAAAAAAATAATTATAAAGTATATGTATTCATTGTTAAAGTTCAGACAAAGTTGTTGTTGTTAAGTGCTGTCGAGTCGGTTCTGACCCATAGCGACCCTGTATAGGATTTACAAGGAGCAGCTGGTGAGTTTGAACCGCCAACCTTGCAGTTCAAACAGCTTTATAGTCTGGCGCATTAACCGACAAAGCAGAGGAGTATAAATAAGAAAAAGCCCAAATCACTGTCTCAGGTAAATTTTCTATTACATACAGGCATAGTAATAGTATGGGTATGTTTGTGCATGTGCACACGTGTGTGCATAGCTCTGCATGAATAGGAGCATGCTATACTTGATAGGAGCTCTGGTAGCGTAGTGGTTACGAATCAGGCTGCGAACCGCAAGGTCGGCAGTTCGAAACTACCAGCTGTTCCGAGGGAGAAAGATGAGGCTTTCTGCTCCCGTAAAGATTTACAGCCTCGGAAACCCTGTATAGGGTCGCTATGAGTCGGAACCGACTCCACGGCACATAACAACAACAACAACAACATACTTGATATGGAGTCCTGGTGTGGCGCTGTGGGTTAATGCGCTAGAATGCAAAGTCAGTTTGAACTGCAAGGTTGGTGGTTCAAGCTCACCAGTCGCTCCTTGGAAACCCTTCTAGAGGGTCCCTATGGGTCAGAACTGACTCGACGGCACTTACCAACAACAACAACTACTTGATGTAACCTTTGTTGCTGTTCTTTTTTCACCGAACAGTCTAGATGAGCAGGCACTTTCCCAAGGCCGTCAGTGTAACGGCATTATCATTTTTCGAGGTTGCTCTGTCCTTTGTTGGATGGCATGTTCCCTTCTCCTACAGCATTCTTGTTCGCAAGTGAAAGAGAACTTGGGCATTTTTCTCTCTACATTTGATCGCTTCCTGATACCTCTGATAATTGTGGTTGTCATTCCTTTTCCCTGTGAAATCAGGTTTCCTGAAAAAATGAAATGTTTGTCTTCTATGAAACTATGGTGATGGTGGGAAGTGGTTCTTCATTTGTTGAATTTGTCTCGCTTGGTTTGAGTTCACAGGTTGTGTGGGTGTTCAGTTCTGGCTTTGTTTTGGAGAGAGAAGAAGAGAGCCCAGAAAGTCGAATGTTGGCGGTGTTGAGGCCAGTGTGCCAGCATACTCAGCTCTCGCTTCTGTGTCAGTCCCATATATGGTACGAGAAGGGATAACAGGAAGGTTCTAGAAGTCATATAACTACACAGACGAGAGCTAAAAAGACAAAGGAGCATGAGGCACTTCTAGAGTGCCTTCTGGGGATTCTCTAGGCCCTGACTTGGCCTCGGCCCAATCTCGTCTTCTCTGTCCTGGGGCTTAAACTTGGTGCAGGAAGACTGGGAAGATTCACTTGGAGCACACTTTGGCCTTGATATCTTTGGAAATCACATTACAAACAAACAGTTCCTGTTCTTCAGCGTCAAATGTTTGAAACTGAGCTAGCAGTGAAAATCTGTTATACAAGGGGCTTCAAAAAGTCAGGAAAAAATTCCGTTATCTATCTGTTCAATTTATCTGTTAACTTTTCGAAGCCCACTCAAACTGAAAATGTGTTCATTGTAATTGTTGCCTTTTAATGCAAGCCTGTGGTTCATCTCAGAAAGCAATGCAGATATGACACACCACCACAAACCAGTTAATTCAAGTCACCACTGGCGAGATCATGTTACAGCCTGAGCCAATATGCGGTGAAAAATGCGGTGTTTTTTTTTTTTTCAATATGCAGTGTTGTGTTGGTTTAGACTGAAAGGCAGGGATGGACCTAAGTACCCTTACATACTACCAGAGTGGGCCCATCTTGTGATCTGCAATCAATGTCTACTGCCCACCTCCTCTCCTGGCTTCCTCAACCCATTCCTCTCTGCCTCCCTGTCTCCCCCACTTCTCTACCCTTTTCCTCCTCCTTTTGTGTTCCCTTTTCTCAACCTCTTCCAAAAGCAGAATCTGACTTGGCTGGTTAATCTCTGTCCAGTGGAGAGGCCTTAAAAGGAAGCTTTGGGTTCAGGCACTGGTCCAGTTGTTTGGAGCGAGCGGAAATTTGTTTTGCTACAAGTACATGGTTGCTATTCTCTGGGGGAGCAGTAGGGGGCAGTGTCACTGCCAAGGCTTTTGACATTGAGGCTTCTCTAGTTACGTGAATTATTACACTTGCATATTTCACTTATTTGGATGAGAAGAAATGTAGGAAAAGACTCTGAAAACTGTAATTTTATGAAAACCAAATAATATTTTATTGAAACCACCCAGTGAAATAAAGTTTGTCTTTCTTGTTTCTGGAATCATTTAGTAAAATGTAAACAAATAATGTCTTGGTGGTAAGTACAACTTCTAAATTCCTTTTTTTTTTTTGCTTCTTATATAAATTGCCATGCTTGTTTTGAGTAGTTTTGCCAGGATTTTCATTTTGGAAACATTCCCATTGGTATTTCTCTGTCTTGATCAAAAGGGAGGATCACCAAGATCTTCATCACACACCTTCATGGAGACCATTTCTATGGCCTGCCTGGCCTCCTCTGTACAATCAGTCTGCAGAGTGGCTCGGTGGTCACCAAACAGCCAATAGAAATCTATGGCCCTGTAGGCCTTCGGGACTTTATCTGGCGAACCATGGAACTCTCTCATACGGAGCTGGTCTTCCCATATGTGGTCCACGAGCTGGTGCCCACAGCGGATCAGTGCCCTCCAGAAGAGCAGCAAGAATTCACATACGTGAAAAGAGCAGACAGCCCTCCCGAAGAGGGCCAAGGGAGAACGATTGTGTTAGACTCAGAAGAAAGCTCTTACCTTTTGGTTGATGATGAACAGTTTGTTGTAAAAGCATTTCGCCTCTTCCATCAAATTCCCTCCTTTGGGTTTTCAGTCATGGAGAAGAAACGTCCAGGTAAACTCAATGCACAGAAACTAAAAGACCTTGGTAAGTGTTGTGATTTTTCTTCTGGCTGTTTTCCTTCTCATCAGTCAAGCTCATGTTAACTGAATCTGCTGAGAGTGTTCTAGTATTCTCCCACTCTTGTCTCTCAGGCCTAAAATTGATCCTTTCTCTGTTTCCTTTGCTCATAGTTTACATATTTGTTAAGAAAAAGCCTTGGAGCCAGAAATATTAATAAAGACCAGAAATCTTTCTCTCAGCTCCTAGATTTCGATTCTTAGTTCATCCTGTCTTTGGTTTATGCTATCTGCTGGTGGTGGTTTTAGATCTCGGCTTTTATTTCCTCATGTCTTGCATTTGAAAGCTGTTTTTGATGGCATCTTTGTTTTGTGAAGAGTTTTGTTTTGTTTTTGCTTTTGCCATAGTTCTTAATAATCATGCAACTACAATGAGCTCTCTTCTTGGTCAGATTTACCTACTCTTTCAATCTTGACTAAGTTAATCTGGTGTTCAGAACACAGCATCTTGATCAATTCTACATACTCAGTTCATTATAGTTAGAAGCAAAACACAGGAAGCTGGGCTCCAGGCCCTGGAAAACTGCACGGCTTCCATGCTGGGCCCTCCTGCCTAAAGAGGCATCCAAGCCCATGTCCTCCAGCCTCACTGCCTCTCATGGCCTGGTCACTCCTTAGATGATGTAAAGCATGCTTTCTATGTTTGTCTCTGCATTTACACAGTGTTTTCCTCCCTCCCCAACAAAAACTAAATGCTAGAGACTGAAGAAAAGTGACTTAGGCCAAAGGTAGTTTTATTACCTAAAACCCTGGAGAAACTGTTCTATTTGGAAACTTGAAGCAGGATCTATATTGGAATGAGTAATTGTGTTATATTTTATGAGGGGGCTTGGGAAAGTCTGTGTAAAAATATAGTGGGATTTTCCCACAAACTTTTTGAAGCCCCCTCCTATATAGGTGCTGCCCAGTGTGATGACTTGGTATTGCTTCAGATTAAAATGAGATTTAAGCTCAGTTTGATAAATGTGGAACTGCCCCTACCTACTAAGAAAGTGGATTTAAGTTTGTAGGTGCCTTTCTTGACTAGACATTGATTATGTTGTTATTAAAATGGACTTTTTCGTTTTGCCCAAAGATGAACTTACTAAGTAAAGCACTTCAGAAATTGTTATGCCCATGTAAAACTGAGACTCAAGGCTGTGGGTTTGATTTTAATAAAGTCTTAGTGGGACTTTATTGTTGTTTAAGTGTCATTGAGTCGGTTCTGATCCATAGCAACCCTGTACAGGGTTTCCAAGGAGCAGCTGGTGGGTTTGAACTACGAACCTTGTGGGCTAGGAGCTTAAAACTCATCTGACACGTATGCATGGGAAATGTTTTAAGCACTAGTACATTCCCATACCAATAGGTAACACTGAATTGAAATATATATATATATATATATACACACACATACATACACACATATGGCACAGTGGGGTAATGTGTTAGACTGCAAAGTTGATTTGAATCGCAAAGCCAGCAGTTCAAGCTCACCAGTCACTCCTTAGAAACCCTATACAGGGTCGCTATGGATCAGAATCGACTTGATGGCACTTAACATATAAACAACAACAACATATATATGTATATACAGGAATCCTGGTGTGACACTTTAGGATAATGCACTGGACCACAAGGCTGGTTAGAACTGCAAGACTGGTGGTCCAAACTCACCAGCCACTCCTTATGAATCCTGTATAGGGTCGCTATGTGTCAGAACTGACTTGGCGGCATTTAACAACAACAATATATGTATATTCCAGTTTTCCATAAGTAGTAAAAACATTTATGACAATTACGAAAAGAAATAAATGCTTTTTCCATTTGTTGCTTGCTCTGTTGTTAATAGAGACTCCTTTAAAAAGGTCATAAATTCCATTCCTGTGATACAATATTGTGTGCTTTCATCATTAGGTGTTCCGCCTGGTCCAGCCTATGGAAAGCTGAAAAGTGGCATTTCAGTTGTTCTGGAAAATGGGGTTACAATTGCTCCCCAAGATGTGTTACAAAAGCCGATCACTGGAAGAAAAATCTGCATCTTAGGTGACTGTTCTGGGGTCGTGGGGGATGGAGGAGCAAAGCTGTGTTCAGAAGCAGACCTGCTGATCCACGAGGCGACCCTGGATGATACCCAGATGGACAAAGCCAAGAAGCACGGCCACAGCACACCACAAATGGCCGCAGCCTTTGCGAAGTTGTGCCAAGCCAAGAGGCTGGTTTTGACTCACTTCAGTCAGAGGTACAAGCCAGTTGCCTTGGCCAGAGAAGGAGAAGCAGATGCTATTGCAGAACTGAAAAAGCAAGCTGAATCCGTGTTAGATCTCCAAGAAGTGACTCTAGCGGAAGATTTTATGGTGATCAGCATTCCAATCAAGAAATGAACCCACATTCCTGTGTGCTTCTGGACATGCCAGTGGGTATGTTCCTGAGTCTCCAGTCCAGATGGCTTTCTGTTTGTTTGGCCGTAATTAGGGGCGCCTAGTAATCTTACAAAGGATGGCCCTACATTGTTGACTCAGCCACAGAGGGAGTAAGCTTTTTTTATATGTAACAAATCATTGGTGTTTTGGTTGTTTTGTTTTTTTAAAAAAAAGAACTGCATTCTTCTTTTCTTTAAAGTTCAACTTTGACAAAATGACAGACTATTATTAGACTACTAGTTTTGTGATTATAGCCTCAGACCCATGCAATCCTGGGCTTACCTCTGTCCAGCTTTATGGCCGTTACTGGCAAAGGGATCAGGGTACTTAGGCAGTTTGTGTTGAGTCTGCTCATGTGTGTTATTAGCAGATGACAGAGAACTGTAATGGGGTTTTGGACATGGAGGATTAGAAATACCATGGTAAATCTTGAAGTCTTTGTTGGATTGCTAAATGCAGAGCCTGACTGGTTTTTCTCAGGAAAATGAACATTTTTCTGAACTTCCTGGTGTGCTGTAAATCTGTGGTTCTCAGGTGGAGGTGATACCACATCCAAGGGGGAGTTTGGAAGTTGTGGGGGCATTTTTCTTGTCACAATGACTAGAGGGCACTACTAGTATCTAGTGGGTAGGGGACAAGGGTATTGGATGTCCTGAAAACTTAGGGTCAGTCTTGTACAATGAAGAAACTACCTTGTCCCAAAATGCAAATTACAGACATACTGAGATATACAGCAAGTTAAAACGTCATACTCCCAATGTGAATATATTGTTGTTGTTAAGTACCATGGAGTCACTTCTGACTCATAGTGACCCTGCACAGGCTTTCCGAGGCTGTAAATCTTTTCGGGAGCAGAAAGCCTCATCTTTCTCCCATGGAGCAGCTGGTAGTTTCGAACTGCCAACCTTGAGGTTAGCAGCCTGATTTGTAACCACTAAGCTACCAGAGCTCCTTATCAAAATCAGTAACATAACTAATTGAGTTACTAGTCAAATTCTTCAACAAATCCTAAAGAACTAGCTAAGTAAATATGCTGATATTGGAATGTCATATCAAATATTATTGGAATGTCATATCAAATATTATTTGAAAAAAAACGAGTAATCCACTGGAGTTTATGAATCTGGAGTTAAAGAAATGATAGATATTAAACTGAGCTTTGATTTACATTTCCCTATTAATAATCTTTTGAGCACAATTTTAATTGTTCTTTCTAGAATAGCTTTTCCTTTTTAGCTGTACCCCCCCCACTCCCCCCCGTCTGCCAGGGATCTCGCTGACTCATTTGCCCCACAATATTTCTTCAAATGTGTTCCATGGAAAGCTAGTTTAATACTGATTGATTCAGAAGGGTTCCCTAATCAAATATTTGCAAAATCTTTTATGCTAGAACACTCTGGGAGTGTTCTAATACTCAGTTTCTTATTTAAAAGAATGAGGAAGTACCCTAACCAGAGAATCAGCAACACCAGAGATGGAGGCAGAGATGAGGGCATGGAAGGATACAGCAGCTGAGAACTCTAGACTCATGAAAAGAGAAAGGCTGTGTGCTGGTGGCCAGGAGGCAGGCTTGCAGAATGTGCCCTTTGGTTGTTTGAACAATTATATATTCCTGCATGTTTATGTGTCCATAAACAACAACAACAAATCATAGAAGGATTAGAAGTAAATACTGTTAGCCAGTGATGCATGGAGAGAATTATTATCATTGCAATGAAACAAAATATGAAGTGACAGTGTTGGGTCTGAGACCTCCAACCAAGTCTATTGGTTGGAGTCTTATTGACATAAGAACCTGGTTGATTTCCATGAAAACATGGAAGAGATGGTAAATTTCACTGGACAGTGCCCCTCAAGTATGAAGTAAGGAAGGGCAGCACTAAGAAAGGGGCATCTTAGAAATTAATGAGGAGTCCCTGGGTAGTGTACCTGGTAAATGAGGTCAACTGGTAAACTGAAAGTTTAGAGGTTGGAATCCATCCCTAGGTACCTTGGCAGAAGGGCCTGATGATCTGCTTCCAAACAGCAGCCATTGAAAACACTCGGGAACTTAGTGTTATTCTTACACATATGGGGTCACCATGAGTTAGAGTCAACTCAATAGCAACTGACGATGAGAGTGGTAGAAGTTAATACAACTGTCTTCCTGCTTCATTCATGTTCGTAAACAGAATGTATGCAATGTTCATAGCTGCATAATGGGATGTATTCAGATGACTTAATAATGATTGTGAAGTTGTCTGGGTTTTTACGATTGTGTGTTCAGTAGGAGAGATTCCGTGCTGTATTTTTTTCATGAGAATGAGTTTAATAGAATGAGTTTGTAATTGGTGATAAAAAAAAAAAAAGCATATTTGGCTGTGGAATCACTCCTTCTTATAAAGGATTCTAACATGCCTGATACATGTATTGGCAGAAATAAGAATTATACCTTCAGAGGGAGAAGACTGTGGACAGGGAAACCATCTATTTGTACTTAGACTGGGCCTCGGGGAGGGTGGTGTTTTCTAAATGATCTTTTGATGAATGCCTATAGAGAAAAATAATTAATCCCTGCTATAGGTCAAACTGCAGGTCAGTCTGAGAAACCCACCTGACCCGCTAACAATGCAGACAGACCATAAATTCTCTGGACAGGCATAATATATAAATTTAAAATAAAGAGTATTGCTTCAGTCATAAACCACTCTTAGGGGCCAGAAAGACCCGATTTCTAGGTCCCATTCTTTATTTTGTGAGCTTTGTCTTCTGCAGCCTGTTGCTCTGAACTTCAGCTTGCTCATCTGTAAAATGGGAAGATAATAAGATCTGCTTCATAGGACTGCTAGGAAGATAAAGAAGATGATGTGTGTAAGGAGCACAGTGTAGTTCAGAGGCACGCCGGCTCTATTAAAGTCCTTCCCGAGTCCTACTGTTCCTTGTAATATCTATTAACATCTTGAGCACCTAGAGATTATACAGTACATACATATAGAAACATTTTCATAGTGTTCACTTCTTTTGGTTCTGGAACTTTAGCTAAAACTTCTGACTAACTCTGGAGTCTGAGCAGGACTGATGTGGTTACTCTGGAGCTCAGACATTCTGAAGCGATCTCGACAATGGTCTGATTCTGCCCTACTCTAAGCTCTCAACCCCCAAAGTTCCAAAATCTGACCACACTTAAAGTTCTTCTTGACTTCTAAATTCAATTAAAACAAAAGTTTATTAGGCACCTACCATGGCAGGCTTGCTATGAGTTGGCACTGACTCGATGGCACTTAACAGCTGTGATCCAAGCTGTACATGAGAGATCAGCTCATACCTCTACTGCATGGAGTTCTTTAGCATAGAGACTGTGTCTGGTCACCAATACATTCTTCTTGGAAATGTTCACCTATTAAGTACACCCAGAAATGTGGTGGTGGTGGTGGTGGTTGTGTGCCGTGGAGTCATTTCTGACTCATAACCCTGCATAGGGTTTCTGAGGCTGTAAATCTTTATGAGAGCAGAAAGCCTCATTTTTCTCCCACAGAACAGCTGGTAATTTCGAACTGCTGACCTTGAGGTTAGCAGCCCGACTTGTAACCTCTAGACTACCAGAGCTCCATCAGAAACATGTTAGCTGAATTATATGAAGCCTTGCTATCATAGATGGGCAAACTTGAAGACATACTTCTATGCCTACCTTATTTCATTACAGCACTTGTCAAAAACTATATAATAACCTGTTGGCAGTATTCCACTCATTGATTCCCAGCTAAGTGTCATGCTTTACTGTGTTGGGAGTACAAACATGAATGTAAGACAAAATTGCAGTCCAAGCTCACAATCTAGTGCTAGGGACAGATGGGTCATCAAAGTAAATATACAGTTCTTTAAGCATTTTGTCGCCTGGCACTAAATTTTGCTGTTCCTAAGCATTACTTGGATTCTTAGCATGGTACTGTAGCATCAGCACTGGACTTTGAACCACAAGATTGGCAGTTCAAACCTACCCACTGCTCTTTGGAAATCCTACACCGGGTCACTATGAGTTGGAGCCAACCCAACGGCACTTACCAACTTAACAAGCATTACTTTCAGGAGTATGGTGACCCTGTACGATAAGCAATGGACTATGAATCACAAGGTTGGCAGTTCAAACCCACCAGCCACTCCATAGAAGAACAATGAGGCTTTCTGCTGCTGCAAAGAGTTACAGCTTTGGAAACCCTATACAGGGTCACTATGAGCTGAAAACGACTTGACAGCACTTAACAAGAAGCCTTACTTGAGACCTGATGTGGTGCTATGGGATAAGCACCGGACTGGTAACTGCAAAGTCAGCGGTTCAAACTCATCAGATACTCTTGGAAACCCTATACAGGGTTGCTATGAGTCAGAACTGACCCCAAGGCATACAACAACAGGCATTATTTAAGAATCCCTGGTGGGCTGCTAACTAAAATGTTAGTTGTTCAAACACCAGAGGCTCCGCAGGAGAAAGATGAGACTGTCTGCTCCGTAAAGATTTATAGTCTTGGAAACACTATATAGCCTCGCTGTGAATCAGGATCAACTTGATGGGTTTGGTAACTAAGTTGAGTTGTGCTCCTAGAATCAGTGGGCTATGCCCTCAGAGACCATGAGGATGTAACAAGGAATCAATAGATTGGATCGGGTACAAGCTATCTGTCCATGGTGAGAATTCTTCCTGGGACCCTCTTCTGGTCTAGAATTCGTTCTTGGTGGTGGGATCACTCTAAGGATGTGTAGAGTTAGAACTGAAAATGAAGCTCAGATTGAACCTCTCAGAGCCTGTAATCTGCTCATGGGTTCTATGAGTAAGAGGGAATTATAGTATATTCTACCCCAAACTGATTTGATGGCTGAACCCTCTTTTTACCAAGGAACTTCTTGGAGCCTTGAGAAGTACTGACCCTTAACACTTCTCAAAATTAGTATGCTTTTTACCTACACTATTTGTTGAGATGCAGTCCTAGTGTGGCACTGTGGATTAATTCACTGGGCTGCAAAGTTGGTTTGAACCACAGGGTCGACAGTTTAAGCTCACCGGCCGCTCCTTGGAAATCCTATACAGGGTTACTATGAGTCGGAACTGACCTGACAGCATTTAA